AACTCTTATAAAAGAAAGCATTTAACTGGGGCTTGCTTACAGGTTCAGAGGTTTAGTCCACTACCATCATGGTGGGAAGCAAGGTGGCACATAGGCAGAAATAGTGCTAGAAGAGTAGTTGAGAGTTATACATCTAGATGTGCAGGCAGCATGAAGAGAGCCACTTGGCCTGGCTTGGGCTTTTGAAACTTCAACTCCTATCCCCAGTGACACACTTCCTCCAACATGGCCAAACCTCCTAATCCTTCCCAAGTAGTACCATTCCCTGAAGTCTAGGTATCCAAATATGTGTGGCCTTTAAGGGCCATTCTTATTCAAGCCAGCACAATGCACATGGCATACATGTGGAAATCAGAAAGACAACTTTGGGAGATCAGTCCCTTTCTTTCACCTTTTTGCAGGTTCTAGGAATCAAACTCAAGTTGTCAGGCTTGAAGGGCAAGTGCTTTCCCCCACTAGGCAATATTTCCAGACTCTGCTATTAGATGCTTTGTCAAGGCTAAGACTGCATCCCCACTGGCACTCTTCAGCATTTACCTGAGTATGGTAATGTACACTGAACTAGAGTTCAGGTCAGCTTCTGTGGATGTTCTGTAGGTCCCTGCTTTCTTAGTACATGAGATAGACTTTAGAGACAGAGGAAAGCCAGGGTTTTTTTTTTTATTCTTTTTTTTTTATTAATTTATTTTGCAATACAATTCAGTTCTACATATCAGCCACGGATTCCCTTGTTCTCCCCCCTCCCGTCCCCCTCACCTTCCCCCCAACACCCCCCCCCATTCCCATCTCCTCCAGGGCAAAGCCTTCCCCACAGACTGAGGTCAACCTGGTAGACTCAGTCCAGGTAGGTCTAGTCCCCTCCTCCCAGGCTGAGCCAAACAATCCTGCATAGGCCCCAGGTTTCAAACAGCCAACTCATGCAATGAGCACAAGATCTGGTCCCACTGCCTGGATGCCTCCCAAACAGATCAAACCAATCAACTGTCTCATCCATTCAGAGGGCCTGATCCAGTGGGGACCCCTCAGCCATTGGTTCATAGTTCATGTGTTTCCATTCATTTGGCTATTTGTCCCTGTGCTTTATCCAACCTTGGTCTCAACAATTCTCGCTCATATAAACCCTCCTCATTCTCGCTAATTGGACTCCCAGAGATCCACCCGGGGCCTAGTCATGGATCTCTGCATCCAGATCCCTCAGTAGTTGGATGAGGTTTCTAGCACAACAATTAGGGTGTTTGGCCATCCCATCACCAGAGTAGGTCAGTTCGGGCTGTCTCTCGACCACTGCCAGCAGTCTGTTGTGTGGGTATCTTTGTGGATTTCTGTGGGCCTCTCTAGCACTTTGCTTCTTCCTATTCTCATGTGGTCTTTATTTACCATGGTCTCCTATTCCTTGTGAAAGCCAGGTTTTTTACTATCCCAAACACAGTGGTTCTGGTGCTGCTGGTGGTGGTGGTGGTGGTGGTGGTGTGTATGTGTGTTCATGTGTGTGCACATGTGTGTGAACATGTGTAGGTGAATGTACACATCTGTATAGAGGCTAGAGGTCTATGTTAGGTGTCTTCCTCAAACACTCTTCACCTCCTTTTTTAGAGACATGTTCTCTCACTGAACCTGGAGGTTGCCAATTTGGCTAGACTAGCTAGCTAGCAAGCCCCAGAGACACTTCTGTCTCTGCCAAATCAGTTCTGGGATTACAGTACTTGGAGTTGCACTTGGAATTTTACATGGTTGCTGGGAAATGAAACATATAACGAATATTTTTACTCAATGAGCCATTTTCCAACACCCACAATGGCTTTTTCCATTTTCCCAGACCCTACAGTAGATTTTGTCTCTGATCTGCTCCCTCTTTGTCCCAGTTTAATAAGTAACTTGACACAGCTGGCACTATGTCCCATCTCAACACCTGTTCCAAACAGAACATCAGAATCACTTCCAAGAGTCTGCTTCTAGGACCTGCCATCCAAAAACCTTTCTAAATTTGTTCTCTATTGATTTTATACATGGGTCCCCCCAAATCCTCCTTTCAACTTCATGTCTTCTTCATTTGTTTGCTTGTGTTTGTTTCTATAACCCACTTAATCCAATTAGTCCTGCCCAAATATACATCCACCAGCACATGGTTGACCTACCATGGACTACATCCCTGAAAGAAACTGATTTTTCTCCCCCCAAAAGCCAACAACTGCCAGTAGCCTCAGCTAGGGGTGGGAGCTAATAAAGTCCTCCCCTCTCCATACTAGAATGCTAGCTGCCTGGATCTTATGCAGGTCTTGTGCAGGCAACCACAACTGCTGGGAGTTCATGGGTGCCACTGCCATGTCTTGTCCAGAAGACAGTCTTGCAACACTCCTCCTCACCCTTCTGCTTTTACAGTCTTTCTACCTCCTCTTCCAAGATGTTCCCTAAGCTTTGGGAGGAGGGGGTGTGATACAGACATCTCCACCAAAACTTGTTTTGCTGTAGTTGTTCTAGAGTTCTTTTTTTATCTTTGGTTTTTAACCTAGAGTAGAGGGAGAGATGATAAACCCTTTCCCTAACATTTTATTCAGTGATCTATGTTGGGGTTGGTTGAATCCTTGTAAATCTAATATTTGATACCTTTTCAACAAGCCATAGGCTAAATAAGAGACAATGGGGTTAGGGAGATGGCTCAGTAAGTAAAGTACTTACCTGTAAACATGAGGACTTAAGTAGATTCCAAACAATCACATAAAAGCCATGTGTGGTGATGGTATGGGCCTGTAATTAGAGCACTGGCCAGGCAGAAACAGGCAAATCCCTAGCACTCCCTGGCCAGCCAGTCTAGCCTGATCAACAAGCTTCAGAGAGACAATATGTTATAAAACAAGATAAATTATTCATGGGGAATGCACCTGAGGTTGACCTCTGACTGTCACATGTATACACACAAGCATGCACACACATTCATGCACACATATGCACCTGCACACCCAAAAACATGCATGTGTACACACACACACAATTAAAAAGAGACAAAACACACATTACAAACACTCCAGATTGAAAATATCACTGCTGAAATATGCAGATAAAATTATCTTCAGAAAGAAATCTATAAGCTAAATAGTATGTCCACATGGGATACATGTTTTTATTGAGTTTAAAAAAGAAAAGCTGAAGTTCTACAAATGAAAGTTTCATCTAAAAGTAGAAAAAAATAATGGAAAATCAAATACAACAAAAGTAAAGAGGAAGAGATTATTACAAAGAGAATATCTTCAGAAAATTACAAGAAAACAGAAAATAATGAAAAATGAGAATACTAAAAACTAAATTTGGGGGTTAGAATGATGAATCAGTGGTGAAGAGCACTGGTTGCTCTTCCAAAGGACCTAGGTTCAATTCCCAGCACCTATGTGGAGTCTCACAACAATTTGTAACTCTAGTTCCAGGGGGATCTGACACTCTTTTCTGACCTTTGTGGACACTGTGTACACATGGTGCATAAATATACATTCAGAAAAGCAATTCAAAAAAATAAATTAAAAATTTAAACTAAATTTTATAACCTGTTTAGAAGTTTGATAACCATTAGGAGAACAACTGAAAAGATATTAATACTGAAAATGGAGTCATTAAAATTTTAGCAATATGAAATGTGGCATAAATAATTTCACATTCACATATTTGGAATTCTAGGTAGATTGACAAGCAGAAAGAAAATAAAAGCTACCAACTTCCTCAACAATGAATTTAAATTATTAAGAGCCCACTGCATAGGGGCTAGAGCAAGAGCTCAGCAGTTAAGAACATTTGCAGCTGTTGCAGACCTGAGTTCAGTTCTCAGCATCCACATATAGTGGCTCACAACCGTCTGTAAAACCAATTCCAGGGGATCTGAGACCACCTGCAGTCATGTGCACAAACCCTCGCACATACACATAATTAAAGTTTTAAATCTTCCTTAGTAAAAATTAATCTTTAAAAAAAATCCAATGTCTATAAATGAAGTGAATTTTTCCTACAATTTTTATGTTAATACCTTTAAACATTCTCAATAGTTGTTTGCTTTTTTTTTCCAGAGAAGGTCTCATGAAGCCCAGGCTGTCCCTTAAGTTGCCAAGTAGCTGAGTCTGGCCTTGTACTCCTGTTCCTCTTGACTCCACCTCCCAAGTGCAAGGACTACAGATATGTACCACCATGTGGCAAGCTTTCAGAATGCAATACTTACTTATTAAAACTCTTCAGACAGAAGAAAAGCAACCAGAGAAGTCAGTTCACTGGGAAGCTACATTTGAACCCATATCTGAGAATACCATTACAAGAAAAGAACTTGAGAAGCCCCTTCTTACCTCACTAAATTTATTTTACAAAATCAAAAGTGTGTGTGTGTGTGTGTGTGTGTGTGTGTGTGTGTGTGTGTGTGTGTCCATGTGAGTGGGTATGCATTTGCCACAGTGCACAGATGGGATTGGAAAGTCAGTCATCACCCTACCACTTTACTTGAGTGTCTCTTCACAGATGCACTAGCCAGACTAGATGCCCCATGAGCTCCTGGGAAGTATTGTCTCTGTCTTTCACCTTGCTGTAGGGGTTCACTGGAATTACAGATGCTTGTGCTGCTGCACCCATCTTTTATGTGGATCCTGAGAATCCAAACTCAAGTCATCATGCTTAGGCAGCACATACACTGAATCAGCTTTCCCCAGCCCAGGAAATATTTCATATGGAGGCAATATTGCAACCAAATTGAAGCTGTATAGTGTAGGTACGTAAGTTTCTGGGAAGAGGGAAAATAATGATATCAGAATCTTCAGAACAATACATAATTGAATTAGGAGAAGAAACTACAGCTTTGTCCATGTCACCATGCAGGCAATGGGCAGTAGTCACATTATTCCCACAGAGCATTCTTTCATCTGATGCCTGAAGTAACAAAGAAGGGCTATTAGCTAACCTACTCAAATGAGTAGATGAAGTGAAGAAAAGAAAAACAATGAACATGAAATAACAAATATACATGTTTTCACCAGATGTGGATCAGTGTGTGAAGTGTCTAGATCATCAATATGCCAACACAGAGCGAAACCATTGCCTCCAAAAATCCACGACCTTCCTGGATTATGGCGATCCCATGGGGATAGGTCTGTCATGCATGGCCTTGTATTTCTCTGCACTGTCAGCACTAGTTCTCGGGATCTTTCTGAAGCAGCAGGACACTCCTATTGTGAAGGCAAACAACCGCACTCTCAGCTACATCCTGCTTATCACCCTTAACTTCTGTTTTCTCTGCTCCTTTCTCTTCATTGGCCACCCCAACACGGCTACTTGCATCCTACAGCAGACCACATTTGGAGTGTTGTTCACTGTGGCTGTTTCCACTGTCTTGGCCAAAACTATTACTGTGGTTCTGGCCTACAAGGTCACTGCTCCAGGACGAAGAGTCAGGTGGATGTTGGTAGCACGGGCACCTAACTTCATTGTTCCCATCTGCACCTTGATCCAAATTACCTTGTGTGGGATCTGGCTGGGGAAATCTCCCCCTTTCATTGACACAGATGCATACTCTGAACATGAACACATTATCATCATGTGCAACAAGGGCTCAGTCACCGCTTTCTACTGTGTGCTGGGATATCTGGGGGCTCTGGCCTTGGGAAGCTTCACTGTGGCTTTCCTGGCCAGGAACCTGCCTGACACATTCAATGAAGCCAAGTTCCTGACATTCAGCATGCTGGTGTTCTGCAGTGTCTGGATCACCTTCCTCCCTGTCTACCACAGCACCAAGGGGAAGGTCATGGTGGCTGTGGAGGTCTTCTCCATCTTGGCATCCAGTGCAGGGCTTCTAGGCTGTATCTTTGTCCCCAAGTGCTACATCATTTTGTTAAGACCAGAAAGGAACTCTATTCAGGGTCTCAGGGACAAAATACATTATAGGTACAAGGCTTAGTAATTTTTTAAATTAATTTTCAAGTTAGCAAATGAAGTAGATTTTATTGTTACATTTTCATACATATATTTTGTTTCTATTCATCCCCCTCACAAACTGATACCCCATCCCTTCTATCTACCTCCTCCTGCTTCTTCCTTATCTTAAAACAATTCTCATTTCTACATTCATATATGTGTTTCTTTACCCCCTGCCCTTTCCCCTCCTCCCTCACTTTCCCCCTCTTTTGGCTACTTTCTACGTTCAGGTTGAGGAGAGAGAGAGAGAGAGAGAGAAAGAAAGAGAGAGAGAGAGAGAGAGAGAGAGAGAGAGAGAGAGAGAGAGAGAGAGAGAGAGAAAACTCCAGCCCCCTGTGGTATTTATACTTATGACTATGGCTTAAGCCAGTTAATTTTACTATTTCCAGTTCCAAAATTTTCCTTTTAAATATTATAACTTTATTCTTCTTCAAGGCTGAACAAATGCCACTGTGAACATGCTCCACATTTACTTTATCTATTCCTCTGTTGATGGATATCTGCATGCTTTCCTTTCTTAGCCACCATGTAAGTACAGCAATAATCATGGATGTGCAAATATTTCTGTAGATGTCTTCTGTGTCTATATATCCAAGAGTGGTATGGTTGGATTGAGTGGTAGTTCTACTTTCAATTTCCTTAGTAACTTCTACACTGTTTTCTACCATGGTATAAATCCCACTAAACATGTAAGAAAAATCACAAAGGAAAAAAGATGGAGTGTGGGGTCAGATTTCTTAAGTTTTAGAGACTGACAAAGAGATCAGCAAACTCATGGCACTTACTTTCCCTATGGTCTAAGCTGCTGCTGAAATTCACCACCACCCCTACCTTTCCAAAATCCAGGACAGACATACAAAGTAGCAGATGTGCAGATTACAATACAAAATACTAGAAACATAAAAAAAAGGAGTCAACATAATTTCCCTGAAAGAGCATAACTCAACTGATGAACTCAACATTCTGAAACTATCAGATGAACATTTTAAAAGTTCTCTTGCAAAACATTATCAGTGACCTGAAAGAGGATACTCACAGGCAGATTAATTCAATACATATCATCAATACCTATAGATAAAGTAATTTATAAGACAGATGAAAAATCAGCAACATGAGAGAAAACCTAAGCAATGAGACTGCAATGAGTAGGGACAAAGTATTGAAACTGAAAAAAATAAATCAAATAAAAAGCTCAGTGGGAAGCATGAACAATGGACTAAAGAAGTAGAAGAAAGACTATGAGATAGACAAGGGTGGGTAAATAATACATACAGACACCAATAAGCAAAAGATTAATGAACATGACCACAATGTCCATGAAAGACCAAAGCCAAGAAATCACAGGCCTAGAAGGAGTGAAGTAAACACCAAAGGTGAATGAAATCCATTCAAAAACATTACAGTGCTGTGGGATGTTCTGTATGACAAATGTGTTGCTGATTAGTCAATAAATAAAACACTGATTGGCCATTGGCTAGGAAGGAAGTGTAGGCGGGACAAGGAGGAGAAAAAAGCTGGGAAGTGGAAGGCTGAGTCGGAGAGACACTGCCAGCCACCATGATGACAAACAGCATGTGAAGATGCTGGTAAGCCACGAGCCATGTGGCAAGGTATAGATTAATGGAAATGGATTAATTTAAACTGTAAGAACAGCTAGCAAGAAGCCTGCCATGGCCATAGAGTTTGTAACCAATATAAGTCTCTGTGTTTACTTGGTTGAGCGGCTGTGGGACTAGCAGGTGAGAGAGATTTGTCCTGACTGTGGGCCAGGCAGGAAAACTCAAGCTACAAATGGTGTCCAACGTGGTGGCAAAAGTTTCCAACGAAAACCTGAGAAAAGATTCTAAAACGGAGCTAAAAACAGCTTCCTAATTGTCTCTCTCAAATGAGCGGCAGCTGCTGGTTTGAGCTACTTGTGGGTTCCTGGTGTGTGTGCTCGACCTGCTGTATGGCAGGAATGAGGCCTCTGCAAGTGGCACATTAAGCTGCGTGGTGGATTTAGACTTTGCTAGTACAAAACAAAAAAAAAGAGTATTTTGGACTACATGCTGCTTGGATAAAAGCATAGAGACCCACGACCCACAATAGCTTCCAGAGCTGGTGGAAAGCATACCACCACCATGTTGGGAAGCTGAGGTGGGCAGAGCCAGCAGCCACAGCTGCTGCAGTTTAAAGCAATAGATTCACAATAAGACAGATTCAGGTGTAATAGTTTACAATGTGTGTAAAAATGTACATAGGCTTGAAAGAGAAAGAAAAAGGAATATATACAGTTGTATAAAGAAATAGTTTTTAAAAATAAAGTCTTTAAAGAGACAGTAAAATTAATATAAAAAATAAGCCATGTGAAGATGAATATTACACAGAGAATCTGGATTGTGTTGTCTTTGGGATTTTTAACTGCAGAAAAACATTTGATTGTAAAAGCTGTTGAGTTATGCCAAAATGTATATTTTAAAGGTACCTTGACTTCAAAATTTGGATATAAGGATATGATGTTTTGGAAAGGAGACTCTGCTTTTGTTCCCACAGAATGCCAAAGGCTATGGATTTGTTCCAGATTAAGATACATCATGTTTGACCAGCCAAGACCCCCTGAAAGGTCTCCGATGACATCATGGCCCAGATGATCCAACATCCAGAATGGTGTGAAGGCAACTGGCTCAGACGATACACCCTCATGGACTATTCCATAATCCTAAAATTTTCTTTGTGTTCCCATAAGATATAGCGCCCCCCTCCAGCAGGAAGTAGTAAGAGAAGCTACGTCCAAATTCCCAAATTATATGTAATTTTACTTTGTTAAGGTTAAAACCTTCCTTTTTGAAAAAAAATGGAGGAAGTGCTGTGGGATGTTCTGTATGGCAAATGTGTTGTTGATTAGTCAATAAATAAAACACTGATTGGCCATTGGCTAGGCAGGAAGTATAGGCGGGACAAGGAGGAGAAAAAAGCTGGGAAGTGGAAGACTGAGTCGGAGAGACACTGCCAGCCACCATGATGACAAACAGCATGTGAAGATGCCGGTAAGCCATGAGCCATGTAGCAAGGTATAGATTAATGGAAATGGATTAATTTAAACTGTAAGAACAGTTAGCAAAAAGCCTGCCATGGCCATACAGTTTGTAACCAATATAAGTCTCTGTGTTTACATGGTTGGGTTTGAGCGGCTGTGGGACTGGCAGGTGAGAGAGATTTGTCCTGACTGTGGGCCAGGCAGGAAAATTCTAGCTACATTACAGGAGGAAAATTCCCAAGCCTAGAAGACACTCAGACATTCAAACACAAAAGATATTCAGAACCCCAAATAAACATGACCAGATAAGATCCTCTCAATGGCATCTTGTAGTCAAAATGTCAAAAACACAAAGCAAAGAAATAATATTAAATGCTGTAGTGGAAAAACACCAATTCACCTACAAAAACAATCCATCAGAATAACATCAGCAACCCTCAAAGCCAGGAAGTCATGAAATGATATATTGCAAGTCTCAAAAGCAGATAATTTCCAGCATAGACTACTATGTCATCTGAGTGATTCTTCTAAATTTGGAAAGAAATAAGAACAGTTCAAGATAAACACAACTGAGGGAGTTCCTGACCACCAAGCCAGCACTGCAGAGGACACTAAAGGAATACTATGAGCAACAGAAGCAACTTCAATCAGTAAAGCAGAGGAAAGAAGATTTCATGGGCAGACTAGCCAAAAAAAGGAAAGCTGGAAGGAGTCCATTATATCCAACAAAATAGACCAGATACTAATGTGGGATAGCATAAAGAACAAATAATAATACAGCAGACAAAAATAACAGAAATTAATAGATATTTCTCAATAAAAATCTACATGCAATGGACTTAACTCACTAATAAAGAGATGCAGACTGGTTAACTGGATTAAAAACTGAAAAGGAACACCATGGAGATTGGAGGAAGGTCACCACTGGACAGGGATTGGAAAGGGGGAAGAGGTAACTAAGAAGAGCAAGGAGGACTGGGTACTGTAAAATGACTCTCTATGGTATTTCAGTGGTGAACACAAGTCATTACACATTTGTCAAACCCACCAAATGTAAACACAAAATATGAACCCTAGTTTGGTGTGATGGCACACACATGTAATTGCAGCATTTGGGAGGCTGTTGGGAGGGCAAGTTTAAGTGTAGCCTGGGCTATAGATAAAATCCTGTACTAAATAAAAAAGAACAAGAAGGAGGAAGAAAAAAAAGAAAGTCTCATTGATAGCATTGATTGTCTTTTTGGGAGATGTGAAAGGAGTCTCCAAGAACCAGTCAATGGAGGGACCAGGTTTTGGTGGCTACCTAGGTGATCTGATCAGATCTGTATGACAAACAAAAAGCAACCTGATGTGACTGATTTCTACTGGCAACAAGATGTTTTGTGAACACTAATGTGCAGTATGGACTTTGGATGAGGATGTGTCAGTGTGGATTGTAACAAACACACCACTGTGATGGAGGATGTTGATAGTAGGAGAAGCTTACACATGATAGGGAAAGGGAACAATGAAACCTCTGTACCTGCCTCTCAATGTTCTAGGAAACTTCAACCTCTAAATAATTCTTATAAAATGAAAATAAAAGCTATTCATATATTTAAGAAAAAACAAGATCCAACTCTATACTGTCTCTGAGAAACACACCTCACTAATAAAATCAAAAGATGGAAAACATTCTATCAAGAGCTTTAAATCCAAACACACCAAATATTGGGGCTCCAGCTTCATAAAATAAACATGGGCTGGAGAGATGGCTCAGAGGTTAAGAGCACTGGCTGCTCTTCCAGAGGTTCTGAGTTCAATTCCCAGCAGCCATATGGTGGCTCATAAAATAAACATTAAATGGAAAAATAGGTCCTCTTATGATATTAGTACATGAATTCAATACCAAACTCTCATATTGATAGGTCATCCAAACTAAAAGTCAACAAAGATGCACCAGCGTTAAACTATACAATAGAGCAGATGGACATAGCCATATACCTACAGAATCAATATTAATCAATATAAACCATCATATTTGGCTATACACATTCTTCTTAGCAGGGAATGATGCTACCAATAGTGGGAAGGTCTTTTCACTTCAATTCATCTAATCAACATATTCCCTTACAGTTATGCCTAGAGGCCCATCTCCCAGTTGTCTCTATCTCATCAAGCTGACAATGGGGGTTAACCATCACAAGTACTAATTCCATTTTAAGAATCCAGCATTACAGCCTGGTGGTGGTGGTGACACAAGCCTTTAATCCCAGCACTTGGGAGGCAGAGGCAGGTGGATCTCTGTGAGTTCAAGGCCAGCCTGGGCTACAGAATGAGGTCCAGGAAAGGCACAAAGCTACACAGAGAAACCCTGTCTTGAAAAATCAAAAAAATAAAGAATCCAGCATTACTCTGTACTAAGGTTATTAATAAATTCAGTGTGTACTTTAAGTTTATTGGTCCTATTTTTTGCTTTTTTACATTTACATAAAAAGCAATGGGTTCTATTGTGGCATCTTCATACACATATACTTCGTTCTCATTCACTCACTCGTTACTTTTCCGGTGCCCCTCCCCCATGTTGTCCCCTTCTGATTGATTCTTTTTCCCCTTCTGTTTCCATGTCACATGTCACATTACATTCTTGATCTCTCTTAAGATTGCTTCCTCCTCTCTTATGGTCCCTTATATTTTATGACCTCTAAAAATATAAATTAAAACACACACACATATACACAAATATTTATCATTTAAAATCTAAGTTTTGCACAAAAGAAAACATTCAGTATTTGTCTTTCTGAGCATGGCTTATTTCATCAAACATGATTTCCAGTTGTATCCATTTTCCTACAACTATCATGATTTATTATTTACAGAGAAATGAAATCCCATTGTGTCCATGCACCTCTATGCATGTCCACTCCATACTTTTGTTATTGTTGCTTTTCTAGGTTGGTTCTCCTTCCAGGCTGGCCTCCAACTGTTCTGGAATAATCTTTTTGAACACTGTGAATATGTGTCACTCTGATTCGTTTAATAAAAAGCTGAATGACCAATAAGTAGGCAGGATTTCAGGGCAGAGAGAATGCTGGGAAGAGGAGGGGCAGAGTTGCAAGGATATGCTAGGGATGCAAGGAGATGCTCCTGGCAGCACCAATTTACTTCAGAGAAGATAATGAGCATTGAAGAAACTCCTTATGGAGTTTGTTTTCATTGTGGCCAGGTTAGCCACTGGGCAAAGAAACTGTTTTTGCCTTGACTGCTGACAGTTTGCTGTACAAACTGGACAAGCAGGACACAAAGGAAAAGAACTGTTGAACTTCGCCAAGATAAGGCAAGACAGTTCTTCAAAATTCATGCTTCATAGAAAAGTCTACCAGATAGTCTAGGTCTGTAGGGCAAAGACAGATACACCAATATTACAGAGAATCCTTGGGTGATAGATGTCTGTTGTTTCTATAGGTTTGGAAGCGTCTTGCACTGCACTTCCTGTTTACTTGGGCAATATTATATCCTTCTGGGGTATTTGATGGAATTGAAGACTAGATGGTTATAGTTTTTCTTAGTTATTATAGAAGATAAATTACTACAAAACTTTGGATTAATCAAGAGAGGATAGATAATGGAGCAGTTTCTCTAAATTTGCCAAATACAAATGGACTGGATATTGTGAATGTAATTCTTACTTGATAATTGTTCTTATTGTATCTACTTTCATTTGTCAAAGTTAATACCTTTTCTTTCTATTTAAATAATACCTGATAATTGTTCTTACTGTATATGGTTTTACTATGTTAGAGTTAAAATCTTTCCTTTTTATTTAGACAAAAAGGGGGAAATGTTATGGAATAATGTTTTTGTACACTGTGAATGTGTCATTCTGATTGGTTTAACAAAAAGCTGAATGGCCAATAGGTAGACAGGATTTTCAGGGTAGAGAGAATGCTGGAAAGTGGAAGGGTGGAGTTGTGAGGAGATACCAGGGGCACAGAGCAAGCAGCATGGGCTTTACAAAGTAAAGGCAACCAAGCCATGTAAAAGAATGTAGATTAAAGATATGGGTTAATTTAAGTTATAAGAATTAGTTAGAAAAAAGCCTATGCTACTGGCTAAGCTTTCATAATTAATTAGAAGTCTCTGTGTCATAATTTGGGAGCTGGCTGGCAGGACAGGGAAGGACTCACAATATCAAACCTATGATCTTCCTTTCTTAGCATTCAGAGTACTATGATTTCAGGCTAGTGGCCATACTTGTTTCCATCTATCATGTTCTCTCATCAATATCCCTCTTCCTTCCTTCTCAAATGCCCCTTCTTATTCTTTTCCAGGTTACTCATCCATGCATCTACTCATCTACAACATTTTTCTCTTTCTCCTTTTTTCCCTTTTTCTTCTTTTCATCTCCCCCACCCCCCACTTCCTTTTCCTTTCCTTCTGTTGCCATGTCTTCCTGGCTCTTTCAGAAGCCTATGCAGTCTTTGCCTGTGTTCCTTAACTTTTGTTCTCCTTGAATTGTTATTATTTCAACAGAAGCCATATTTCTCTTCCTTTCTCCCATATATCCCAAGAAGATAAAATCCACATCTCATCTCACCATCCTGTTCTGCACCTATAACTGCCCCTCATTCTTCTCCCATTTTTCCATCTTTTTCTTAGCTGTTTCTATCTCAGATTTTTGTCCAGTTTTCTATTCTAGGTACCTGTTCCTTGACACTCCCTCCCATTGCTTGTTTTGAGACTGGGTCCTGCTTTGTATCCCAGGCTTGTGTGTTTTTCCAGTCTATTGGCTTCTTCCTCCCTGGTGTTAGATGACAGTCATGAGCTGCCATGCCAGGCTCTGCTCTTTGTACCCAGAGCATTTATTTTCAGATGCCCCCCCCCAAGGTGGCACTCTTCTCCCCACTATCTATTGGTGAAATTATTAAGGCCACTCCACGTAGTTAACAGGTCTTTGGAATTTGCCCCACGTGAGTGCCAGATATTGGTAAAATTATTAAGGCCACTCCACGTAGTTAAAAGGAGATTTATTTAATGGCGTAACTTACAAATTAAGGGATAGGTAGGTCGTGGGGTCTGGGGAAGGTGTATCGCAGTCCAGCGGTGTTCTCTGGAACTCTGCTTGGTCCACCTCTCCAGTCCAGGGTCCCGAAACCGAATGCGAGCCCGCCGATCCAGCCCTCCAGTCTCCAGGCGCCTCCCTTGGCCCCGCCTTGTAGGCATGACAGTTGCTGAAGTCTCAATGGGGGTTGGAACTTCCAGATCAAAGCTGGAATGGCTACCCACTACAACTATCTTTGCTTCTCTCTCTTTCATGACATTCAGTCCCTCTTGTATACTCCCCAAAATGGCATGGTCTAACCATACATGAATCCTGTGGCTTTGATTGCTAAGTTATATGACACTGGTCACCCAGCCTCCATCTTGAAGGAGAATGTTTTCCTGTAGCACTTTTGAAGACAGTGACCTCACATCAACCCTTGGGTCTCTACTGTCCCAAGAGTATAAAGACCCCAGGGTGGGAATGCAGGTTATTTTAAGCAAGAGACTACAATGACATGCTTAGGTTTCTGCTCTACCTTCTGACTTGGACCAAGAATGCTGTGTAACCTCAGACAGAGGAGTGGCAGCTAAGCTTAATACCTTCTTTGCTGTAAGCCAGAGCCTATCAGCTAATACTGTCCTGGAGGTCTACTGTGGAGAACATGGTGAAAGTGTAGACTGAGGGGCAGGTGGGAGTGGACATAAAGCTTGATGTGGCAGTGAGGAATCCTGTCAACAGTGTAAAGGAGAGGAAAAGCTGTGAAGGGAATCAAAGCTCTCAGGCCAAGAATTCATCTCTGTTGAAACTTTTTTGGTCCTTGACACCAAGGTTCTCCATAGGCCCTAGGCTACAGCCTGAGGGTGACTCTGGCCAGATGCAAAGTCCACTGCTCCCCCAGGCTCTGTCCAGTTGCCCAAAGGGATAAAGGGAGAAGAAACAGGAGGGAAGTGCTAGAAACAGATCATCAGTCCTCTTCCTACCTCGGGGAGGGCCTCCCTGTCTCCCAGGGTCACCAGCCCAGTATCCAGATATCTACAATGCTGGAGACAACCCACAATGTCAGTCCCAGGTTGTCTATGTGGCCTGGGTATGCCCATTGGCCAGGTGCCCAGATGCCCGGCTCCACGGGCCATTGGTGATGGCTAGCCCAGACCCTCAAGTCATCGCATTCTTCAGCTGGGGACCTTCAGGAACTGCCTTGTCATCACTAGAGTCTTATTCTTCCACATCACTATGGATGTCCTTTCCCATCTGTGAAAACAAATGATGCCAGAGCTCAGAACAGAGCAAGGAGCACTGGGCCAAGGAGGGGCAATGGGAGCTGACCCTGTCAGGCCCCTGTACCTAAACCTTCCTCAGGAAACTGCCGATCATGCACAGGATGAGGCAGAACCAGTACACATGAAGTATCTGCAGCATAACCAGGAGCACATTCAAGTAGTAATACCCAAAGAAGGGGTCCGAGCTCTTGATGGAGTCAAACAGAGTGGAGTAGATGACCCTAAAGCAGGAAGCAGGAAGGAGTTTCACCAATCAGTACAGGTCCCCATTCTAGGAACTTGCATGGACTGTCTGTGCTCCTGAACCACCCTGGAGCCCCATCCTGTGGGATGTTCTGTATGGCAAATGTATTGCTCTGATTGGTCAATAAATAAAACACTGATTGGCCATTGGCTAGGCAGGAAGTATAGGCGGGACAAGGAGGAGAATAAAGCTGGGAAGTGGAAGGCTGAGTCAGAGAGACACTGCCAGCTGCCATGATGACAAACAGCATGTGAAGATGCCAGTAAGCCACAAGCCACGTGGCAAGGTATAGATTAATAGAAATGGATTAATTTAAGCTGTAAGAACAGTTAGCAAGAAGCCTGCCATGGCCATACAGTTTGTAACCAATATAAGTCTCTGTGTTTACTTGGTCGGGTCTGAGCGGCTTTGGAACTGGCAGGTGAAAGAGATTTGTCCTGACTGTGGGCCAGGCAGGAAAACTCTAGCTACAGCCCCCTTCTGAGATGGTATCTCTCTTCACCTGCTTATACTGTCAGTGGAACATACAAATTTGCTGACTGGCCTTTCTGTACCACAAACTCCAAGGAAGTATCAAGTGTCCTACTGGCCCTCCTAGGTGAACCTTTATGATTACTCATCTCTCCTTAGATACACAGTAACTCTTTACATCAACCTGAGACCTACCTACTCATCTAACAGAGCCACTGGATGACAAAGACAATGTTCCTGAACCCACTGTTCCTGCATCTCTACCCTCTTACCAACTGACCTAGCTCTGGCCATACCACCTCTTTGCAAGGTCACAGCTATTTCCTACACACATCCTTTACCATTAAAACCAACCCTGTCATTTCATATTCAAGAAAGAAAAATCCAACC